TAGGCTGTTATTACAATTTTCAAAATTGAAGTTGAAACTATAATTAACAAAAGTTCAGTGTCAAAAATTTCTTATCTTGGCCAATCTATTTTTGACTTTTAAAGCATAATTCACTGAAACATATAGATATTAATATACATCATAAACTTTTAGAAAAATTCTGTCATAAAATCTTTTTTCAGATTAATCAGATAAAGAGTAAGATACCTGGCATTTCAGAATGTAAGTTCTACCAACCAAAAAGAATAAAAAGATCAAAAAACAACAATAGAAATTATAGAATATTAGCTCCATTTAAACTCCACTCTTAGCTTGGCGCCATATTGAATTTCGCGGCCGCGCTGGTAAAGGCCTGGGGACTAGGTGCTCTACCGTATCTGAAATAGCCTTCACCGAAAATAGTGGACGCGGAGCTCGAAATCCGCCATGTTTTTGCGGACACTTTTTTGTTTGACGAGATATGGGAGCACGATCTCCAGATATATATAGTAGAGCTCAGTGGTTACAACAACGGCAATAACAATGAATCACTTAACATTTCAAGGAAATATAAATTATAGATAGATGTCATGCATGACCCCATGAGTTTTGTATTTGAATTGCTAGATTTAAATCTATATTATGTATACAAAATCATGCGTGCGTATAAATTTGAGCAAAAAAGCACAAGGTGTTTGTTTGGCCATATGCCCATCAGGTAGTATGAATATTGAACACCGTTTTACTGTATATAGCACGTTTAAAACGTTATTTCCATGCAGGATAATCCTGAATCCTTCACCGATTACATGCGTGGCAAATGACGAAAAATAATTATGTAAAATAATTAACCTAATATGTCTTTGGCCATGAATGCAACTCACTATGCTGCTTTATACATCTGACAGTCTATGTGCATGACTGTATGGCCCAATGTATGTTAATTGTTTCAGGGAAATTTTTGTTTTCAGATTAAAGTATAACAATATTTTCTGCATTCCAATATATTTTCTACATGCAAGTGCGCCTTCTGTTTCAGATAGGGGCCAAATCATTTGAGGCCGAATGGGATAGCCAATGATTGGAGGGTAATGTTAGCAAATTTGACTCCCATACATAATGTCAAGTTATCACTGGTCAATTTTTAAATTTCTTACAATTTCACATCAGGGAGTTCATTGCCCCCCCCCCCCCCCTCATTATCCAGAAGTGTGACTAAGTGTTTTCTACTATCTATCCAGGTGTCCAATCTAAATCTCTACCACAACAGGATGTATACCTGAGTGATGGTAAGGGAGGTGGGGTTAACATTCTGATTTATCAATAGATTAAGTACTACACATTTCCACATTAAAGATATGAAAAGTTTTCCAGTTCAATATACTGTATCTATAGCAGGAGGCTTAAACCAGAATTTCAGAATACAAAGCAACTTTTATGTCATTTTTGTAATGGTTTGTTTAAAATCAATTTTTATACAGACATGGTAGGGTGTCTCCTGGGTAGAAGCCTGCATATACATATACAAATTTTCAGTTTTGTAATTCTTACAAGATTTGCAATAAGTCAAGAGAATAAGTATTCCACCAGGGTCATTCACTTAATTTGGTGTGTGAAATTCAGTGAAGTCCCCTGCAGCCAGGACAAAATGGCAAGGTAAATTTCTTCAGTCCTATCATCCCCAGGTATTCAATTGGAATTTTTACATGAAATTTCCCAAACCATTCCTTTACTGTTCTGTAAAAGCCTTTCCTAGCCGACTGCTTTATTTCAGCATTTATATAAAAGACTAAGCCTTTCCTAGGCGACTGCTTTATTTCAACATTTATATAGCCAACTGCTTTATTTCAACATTTATATAAAAGACTAAGTGACCCCCCCCCCCATGACCTCATTCATTCCTGACTTGGACACTGAAAGTACGTGTCTTCCCTGTTTGCCAAGAAATGATAAACCAGTGAATAAGAGGCGATTGTCCTTGCATTCCCCTCTGGTTGTATGCCAAAGGTGCAAGGATTCAAATGACTGGTGCAATTGAATATGCTTATAAGCTTATTCACTGTATTTAATTAAAAGCTATTAAAATTACTCACGAATAATACAACTGAGGAAAATTCAGAAATAGTAAAATACACCCATAATATTCCATATGCTATATTTATAAATTCCAATTGGCCATTTTAATATAGGGCCATTTTAATATAGGCGGGTATTAAATAGGCCAAGTGACCAATACCAAAAGCATAATAATTAATAAAACACAATATATTACACCATTAAAACTTTACTATCGTAACTATATATTATTAAACATTTTATATTTACAGTGTGCGTAAAATTTTACAATTATACTTGAGCACAATGTTTTAAATAATAGACAACTTTATAACAAGAAAATGTTAAAATGAAGAAACTTTTTAATGGCTTCATAATTGACGTTTCTTCGATATTGTTGCTTACTTCTACTTTATAATTGTCCATTTTGTTATTTTCTTTCATTCTGTTTGCAAATTATCTCCATTAATCCATAGAAAACAAGCAGTATACGTTCGTATTTCTTCGCATTTCGAACGCGCACTCCTTGAAGGCAGCCATATTGCCGAATATAAACATCCACTTGATGAATAAACTTTTCATATTTCACTCTATTTCCAACGGCCAATCAATTCACTTCTGCTTTGGCTTGTCTCAGGGCTTACGGCAACGCAGGCAGCCGAGAAGCCCTGGGAACGAGGATGGCTGATTATGCTAAAAAAATAAAAATAACAGCCATGTAAACACGAAGTGATAACTCATACTTGTGAATATTGAAATTTTTCAGCATAATCAACAATATGATACCTTACTTCCCATCATTCCCATGCATGCATAAATTAAAAGCTGGAATTGCTTTACCCTAACCTGTGATCAGGCCTATAAATAAATAGGCTTGATACAAACCTTAACAAAAGTCCATGCCTTACAACCGTATTTTGGTTGTAAATCTGATTGGTCTATTAGAGAAAAGATTTTTTAATCTGTCATTTGATTGGTTTGTGCTAATTATATTATATTATGACCAGTTGTTGATATATAATTATTACCAGTTGTTGATATATAATTAATTGATATATAATTAGATTGTTGTTGTCATTGTGTGAAATTTAAATTTCTCCTCAGTCCTACGACATTTTGATTGGATACTAAATATAAACTTTGCTGTTGGTGGAAAGCGATTGGATTAAGGTTTGTGTCAGGCTATACTTGTAAAATAGAGCCTGATCTCAGGTTAGCTCTAGTCTACATTCTACCGTGCAGGACTCTACCCTAATGGATAGATCAGTGTTACTTTTTGCCACAGTGGTCAGATCAGTGATATTTTTTGCCTCAACAGGCTCTACCACAATGGGCTCCACCATAATGGGTGGTGGTAACTGTTATTATTTTTTCATACCACAATGGGTACACTGTTATTATTTTGTGCTACCACAATGGGTACACTGTTATTGTTCTGTCATACCACCATGGGTAGTCCAATTATGTTATTTTGTGCATCAAAGGGATCCACATGTGTTGTAGTTGTATTCGCATGCACTACAGCTGGTGAGCTGGCACGTGTGTCGATCACAGAATCTCGTATGTAAGAAAACATGTTCGTATATATTAATAATATAAACTTGAAACACTGACAACTTTAGGTAAAGTTACCTACAGATAAAAAATCGACACAAGGTTCTAAGACAACAAAGTCATATATTATCCAGAGCCTGCAAGTACATTCTGTCTCCTTATATTATAATAAGACATCATTCAATGATGTTTTTGACCAATCGATCAGTGCCATCAGTGGGATATTTTGGGCAGTTAAATTAAAACTGCCGATATTAACTCATAAAAGGATTAAAAGCACATTGTTTGCCTCTAGATTGAACACTAAAAAGGTCATCGCCTTGATGTATTTTAGAAGAAAGAAATAGAGCCGTGCTAACCTGAATTTTTCCGAATATTGTCGATCTCTTCCATCCGTATGAAATGCTTGTAAAAAGCTTGTTTAAGGCTTTAAGCACATGGAGATACGTGCGCAATACAAAATCTTGATTCTGACCGCTCCCCTCATTTAACAGACGTTCCTGAAGCTTAATTAGCGAGGTTTAGCAAAGACGACGCGACGTCAAAGACGACGTGAAAATGGCGTAAAAATGGCGTAGGCACATCCATAGATGGGCATATCACGCCATTTTTACGCCATTTTCACGTCGTCTTTGACGTCGCGTCGTCTTTGCTAAACCTCGCTATTATTTCCCCGGATTACGACATCTTTACAAACAGACAGACACAAGATCTCGATCTCGACAATACATAACTCGCGCGAAAGACTGGGTCGAGTGAACTCTGGAGAAACCACCGCGTGTCAAGAATAGTGTGCTGCCTCGCTGCACTCGGCAGCAAAAACGCGGGTAGATCATTGCATAAGAGCCCAAATGACGAATCTTTGAGAAGAATATCGGTTAGATTTGTGCAAACTAAGCACGCCAATTTTTATCCAAGCTCGTGGGAAATTCGATTCATGATTTGTTATTTTGTTCGGACCATTTTTCAACGGATTGTTTTGAGCGTTTATTTCATTTGGATGGTTTGCAACGACGACTAAAACCAGGTTCTGTGCCTACTATTTGGAGGAAAGCGCCTGCGCAACTAACAACAAGAGACAGGCGTAAGGTTTAGTCAAATATGAATATATTTTAGCTACATACATATTTACATAATCTGATAAGTCCGGATCAATTATGAATTCACGCGACAAGTGTTGTTCTCGATCATATTATTGAAAATAGGTTTAAAATTTTAAACGAGTTGGGCGAAACTACAAACAAGACTGATACAAACAAGGATGAACCATCGAGCTGTTTTTTCAATCTCCGTGTAAGCTCGCTGATCAGTGTTCGGGAACGTTGATCATATTTTTTGTAACAACATCACGGTAATGTGAGATGCCTTGAACTGCCCGACGTGCCCGTAAAACCTCATACCAAACTGCGAGCTGTCTGTAAGAAACTGCGCGTAAGAACCTATAAAATATATAATATTAAATAAATGTGCGCGCACTATATGTTAATTAATGCTTGTTTAATAACAGCATCAGCATACTTCAGGGTTAACAGCAATGACCACATTCACACCTTATAAAAAATGCAAATAGAAGTTCAGAGATGCGTTTTAATTTATTACTCCGGCAAATAAGAACACAGACTTACCAAGTTACCAAGACAATACATCAACATGGCCTTCAAAACGATTTAATTTTGTAACATATTTTCGAGCTGTTAATTCGTCTTCTGCTACAGCTTCGTCGATCTCGTACTCGGCTACCTCTTCAGGCGAGGCAAGCGGCTCCAGCGATAGTGTCATCAAATGGCGAAAATTCATTGTCAGGTTCACTTGAATTCGCTGTTATATAAACAGATGAGACGCAGGAGAATCTGTTTCAGACAAATACTCCGAAACGCCACTAGATCGCGACAAAACTGACAGTTTAGTTCTTGGAATGCTGCGATGCTCTACGTTTGCTTACTGCATGGCTACTTATGCCCTTACCTGTGCCCTTGCGGTGTGTTGAGACTATGACGTCAGAAGCCTCTCGTGACAACATAAAATCATCGTGACAACATAAAATTTTGGACATTTAAAATGCTCGTCAGTAACTGCGTGGTCGTTAATCATGTTCACCTGAAATTTTACACAAGCATTTTTGGTGCAATAATAAAGTCATTGCTAGCAAAAAAAGGGAATTTTCTCGATGATGAATTTTCGTCACAGTTGCACTTTAAATTAGAGTTAATTTAAATGAGTTAAACCAAGTACCACTGCAGTAGCCGCTGTACAAGGCAGGCGCATGTCTCGCATTTCTGTCCAGTGCTTCCATTTCTAAGGAAATTTCCTGATTCTCAGGAAATCCCGAGCTAAAAAGGAAATTCTCAGGATAAGAAAAGATCTCAGGAAATTGACGAAATTGACACGAATTTAATGCGAAATCTTGAAACGAGAATTAATTTTTTTCATTTTGGTGTAATAACTAACAAATCAGTTTGTTTCTGCAGTGTTACACGACGTGCTTGCACTTGTCTTTGCTGCCGCTGACCAGTTCCCCAAAGTGCAGGATCCTTCTTTCGTAATTGTAAATCATTGAAAATGTTACTGTAAAATCTAAATCTAAAATGTAAATAATTAAAAAACCGGAAAATTTTTGAATAATGAATAATAGCAATTCCGACATAGAGTTCGATGCTAAATCTCCATAAAGCAATGAAGACAGATGTTTATAATGATTAGGTAGCTGAACTGAAAAACGAATTTATTAAAACACTTAACAAGCCATGATAAGACATTGGGACCTATTTTATAAAGTGTCACTTGTTATTTGCTATTTTGTTATACTATACTTTTTTATAGTCACATAGCAAGTGTTGCCAGTTTGATAAAAAGTTGAAACAAGTCTTTGATATTTTCATTAGCCATTGCTGGTCCATTGATATTCCTGTTACAAAATTACTAAGAGACTTAATGGAGAATAAAACGCGAAAACGAAGCGTATTGTGCCAAAGTTTTGAATTTCTAGCATGAAAGTAAACTTAAGGAAATATCAGGAAATTCATGAAAAAAAATCAGGAAATATCAGGAAATTGTCATCATCGAAAAAGGAAATCTCGATTTTGGTTATGGAAGCACTGTTTCTGTCCATGGTTTTCGCAATCTCGTTCCCCGAGCATGCCCGTTCGCAGGTTAAGGGTGGGCATAGCTCTGGAGAAATCGAATTGATTCACGTTGAATTTCCAACGTGAGTTCTACGCATGCTCGGCAATGTTGCAAAATATAAATAAAGTATTTAGAATTTCGCGTCGAAAATTTGATATATTTTACACTGAAATCGAATTGAAAACAACTAAAAATTCTGGGGGAAATATGTACGAAAGGTTCGGTTGGATAGGGATACAGCTACCTGAAAAATACAAGGAGAACTTTGACGTTTCGAGCGAAGGCGCTTCGATCTTTACTGTTAGTGTTTGTATACATCGTACTTGACCTTTGCTGATAAATATAATCTCCTCAATAATAAGTATTATATATTTTTATGCTTTAAAATTTACATTTAATTCTTCTGTCAGAATTTATGGTATACGTATAGTGTTAGGCATGACAGTATATAAAAGGTCAAGTACGATGTATACAAACACTAAACAGCACAAGTCGAAGCGCCTTCGCTCGAAACGTCGAAGTTCTCCTTGTATTTTTCAGGTAGTTGTATTCCTATCAATCCGCAGCTTTCGCACATATTTCCTCCAGAATTTCTAGTTGTTTTCAATCGATTTCAGTGTAAAAAGTATCAAATTTTCGACGAGAAATTCCAAATACTTTGTTTATATAGAACTCACGTTGAAAATCCAACGTACTATCTGCCGTTAGCCAATCACAGGCCTGAATCAATTCGATTTCTCCAGAGCTATGCCCACCCTTAACCTGCGAACGGGCATGCTCGGGGAACGAGATTGTGGTTTTCGTCGCTTGGCGTAAGAACAACAACGTCTGTGAGCAGGCTATACAGGTCGCGGCTTCAAAGCTTATTAGTTATAACTGCTTAACAAATCGTTCACGCAAGCACAGTCATATTGGTCTAATACATACAGCCGTTAAAATTTCAGTTTAGTGAGGTTTCTGTTTCGGCTAACGATATTATGATCAGTGTGAACTTACATTGTGGTTAACAGAAAAGAAAACAGCAGCTACATCAAAGAGTCTTGAAGTTCTGTTATCTTGAATAATCGTTTGTCTACCTAAACCCAGTGGCGTAACGTTACATCAAGGGGCCCCCGGTTCAAAATTTTCGAAGGCCCCCCCTAGTAGAAGTGCCAAAGGCACGAGTCGAGCGCCGTATATGCACGAGTTTTCTAGGGGGTCCAGGGCATGGTCATCCGGAAAATTTTTGAATCTAGACTCTCTGAAATGCCATTTCCTGGACTTTGGGGAGAGATTTTACAGAATTCTGATGGTCATAAAACGACATTGTAACATATCAGAGGCCCTGGCCAATGTTTTTTGCCCTATCGCCTAAGCCTGGGGGCCCCCATTTGGGTTGGGGGCCCCCTAGATGTTATTTCTCTATCGAAAGTAGGCATAGAGATTGGTCAGTTAACCGTATTGTCGTTCATTTTTGTGCGGGATATAATCGTTACTTGTAGGTTTCAGTGGCCGGAAATGCACGACATCTTTGGCACTCTATATGACAAAGAAAATGAAACTACGTATATTCATCTCATTTTTTCTATGTATTTGCCTAAAGTGTACTAAATACATTCAGAAAACTTGACATCATTTAAATTCATAGATGCCAAGTCTCACGCATTAAGCGTGTGACACACGCCTCAGCACCATTTCTCACGCTCACACACTGTAAAAACTGATAGGTTAAAACAACCTATTTGTAAAGGTTATCACTTATATAAATAGGTTGTTTTAACCAATTGAATAGGTTATAACCAAAATAAATAGGTTAAAATAACCAATTATTTTTTGGTTAATCTCTAACATTTGGGTACAACTAATATAAATAGGTTAATTTAACCAATTTACCAAAGTAAATAGGTTAAAATAAACTCTTTTGCATCACAACCCAGTTCTGCTATGAAGACAGAAATACCACCATTCGATTCAGAAATAAAAGATTTAACTAATTCTTCCGTATAGTTTTAGTCATTATCAACATTGTAGCGATTTATGGGCCTTTGAAAGTCAAACACGATCATATTGTATCAAATTACGCAATTGTCTGAACAAAATATAGACTAGCCATACCTTTCGCCGAAAATAACTTCGGCCCCTTCGAATATATCGTCTTTGTAATAGTCTTGTTAGAATCCCCATTAAAAACACTATCTAAAGTGTTATTTGCAAGCCTGTATCTTCAAATCTGTAACTTTTATCAATATATTCAGGGGCGGATTCAGACCGTTGCAACCGTAGCATATGCTACGGTCAGATTTTCCCCGAGATATGTTTTTTCAGGTTGTACCTTTTTTAAAGTTATTAAAAATAAAAACGTTGACTATTTTTAATTGCCGTTATTTTCAATTTTTAATTGAAACTTGGTGCAATTTTTTTTAAATTTACTAAATCATATTGATACAATTGTATCGAGTTTTTATTTCATTTTGGATAATTAATTCGGGTTTTTCTCAAATTTCCTCCCGAAATACTGCCTGTATTTGCGGGTTTTGCACTAGTACTATATCACATCGTTCTGAAGGCGTAGCATTTGCTTCATTGTGATTGGTTTGCAATTGGTAAAATGCTACTGTTTGCAATAGTCGCATCGACTTCAGAACGATGCTGGCTTGTTATTGTCGTGTCTGCTCCTCGTTGTAATCGAATAGTCGGTAAATTTTAATCGCCGCTCGTTCCAAGGAGAAAGACATGGCTTCTACACGACTCCACGATCTTCTGTGTATAATGAACGAATGTAAACGTGTTTCATTTAACGGAAAGGTGCGCGAAAGAATTCTGATCGAAAGCTTTTGGTGTGCGATTATTGGTATAATTTGCATTTCCCGCGATGTGAACTGTGAACTAGACAGCGCTGTCTGAATCAACTCCGTGTCAGGTCAGTCTCATAAATAGTATATTAAATATGTAAATAACATAATATCGAATTTTACACAGTTCAAGCGTCTCGAATATATTACCATATATTTGCTGATGAAACGTATTATTATAAAAATGCAGAACAATATCAATATCACACTATTTGATAGCAATTGGCATGCCATGTGTGTTTATATTAAGAAATATGTTAGTTAATCTCCTATATATTTTATATCTTAGACTTTGCTCATGTAATTATTAGTTGTAAACCTGTGTAGTCTATACTAAGACTAGTGAGTAGTGTAAATGAAATTTATAGAAATAGTTACACTCCGATATATTATATTGTAGTTTACATGTATACTAACAGAGTTTAGAATTACAACAGCTGAGCCTGTTTCCTGGGATAACGTATCATAAATATATGGTTAGATGTTTCAAATCCATGTATTGTATACCTTACTTGTATTAAAATTCGCGTCGTATAGTCATTTTCGTTCAGCTTTAAATTCGCGCGTTCCAATTTCGCGAAACTTATTCGCGCAGCTTTAAATTCGCGCAAGTAATTTTCCGTGTTGGTTCCTTTTGGTTTGTTTAATAGAACTATAACAACAAATACTTCAATATTTGTCAAAACAAAATTCATGATAACAATAAAGCGTATAAAGTTCAAACTTCAAAATGTATGGTTTTCATTTGCCTAATACAATAACAATAACTAATTTTTATTAGCATCTCATATATTATAGGTATGGTATTGCCTTACATTATATTATTTACTAACAACGAGTGAATATTACACCGCAAAGCTTTTC